GTTTGAGCAGACACATGCACATTTGTGGCCTGCTGGAGGTCATTTTGCAGGGCTCTGGCAGTGCTCCTCCTGTTCCTCCTTGCACAAAGGAGGAGGTAGCGGTCCAGCTGCTGGGTTGTTGCCCTCCCACAGCCTCCTCCATGTCTCCTGATGTACTGGCCTGTCTCCTGGTAGCGCCTCCATGCTCTGGACACTACGCTGACAAACACAGCAAACCTTGCCACAGATCGCAGTGATGTGCCATCTTGGATGAGCTGCAGTACCTGAGCCACATATACTGTATATACCGTATTTTCCGGACTATAGAGCGCACCTAAATATAAGCTGCACCCACTAATTAAAATAAATAAATAAATAAATTTACACATATAAGCCGCACCGGACAAGAAGCCGCCAATGTTCAGGTTGAGGAATGACATATTTACCGGATACACAGGAACACAGAAAGATTTTGTACCATAAATGTTTATTTATATGCCTGAACTGAAAAAGTAGCGGCTTATAGTCCGGAAAATACGGTATTTTTTTTTCATATATATTTATGTATAGTTTGTGAATATGTATGTTTATATATTGTATGTTAAATTACAAAATATCATGTACATATAAAAACTGCTAATATGCTATGCAAAAAACTGGTAATAATAATGATAATTTGTCATGTGTTGTCATACTTCACAGTCTCTATCATACTTCCTGTGGCCTGACACAGAGGAATGAACACAAACACTAAACCAAGACAACATTTCAGGCACCACAGCAGCTGATATAAGGTGTTGATTAGTGATGCTCTCTTCTTCCCGCTGCTGTTTCCAACGTCTCACCATAGATTCATTAACGCCAAGCTTACGTGCAGCAGCCCTATTTCCTCCCTGGCTAGCCAGATCGATGGCCCTTAACTTAAAAGCTGCATCATACGAACTTCTTTGTGTGCTTTCCATGATGATGGAGTGAGGGCGTGAAAATAATTCGCTGCCGTGCTAAATAAAAACTAGCGTGTTCTTCTTTGCACTGAATTCCCCTGTCTGTCTTGTTTTTGCACTTCCTGCTATCCGATTGAACATCTGTGGAGTGATCTGAAGAGAGCTGTGCATAGGAGATGCCCTCGCAATCTGTCAGATTTGGAGCAATTTTGCAAAGAAGAATGGGCAAATATTGCGACATCAAGATGTGCCAGTCTCATGGGTTATGGGCCACATTAAAAGTGGAAAAAGTTATGAAACAATTTATGCTTGTGTCTTTTCTTTACATCACAAAAACCTGGCTGAAGCAAGGGTGTGTAGACTTTTTATATCCACTGTATATACATATATATACACACATATATATACACACACACATATATATATATACACACACTGCTCAAAAAAATAAAGGGAACACAACACAATGTAACTTCAAGTCAACCACACTTCTGTGAAATCGAACTGTCCACTTAGGAAGCAACACTGATTGACAATCAATTTCACATGCTGTTGTGCAAATGGAATAGACAACAGGTGGAAATTATAGGCAATTGGCAAGACACACCCAATAAAGGAGTGGTTCTGCAGGTGGTGACCACAGACCACTTCTCAGTTCCGATG